AAACAGATGCCTTTAACACAAAACTCCCATCAGTGCGATAGCTTCGCATGGCCCAGATGAGTCCTCTGTTCTGTTCCCATGGCATAGGAAGATCTGGCAGATACTGAAAGTTGAGAGCCATCTTCTCTGCTCATTACCAGAAAAGCAGGGGAGTCTGCTGAAAAAGACATCTTCCCGTTACTGGGCACCAGGCAGCACTAACCCCAGCACGGACACTTTCCCACTGGCAGCAGCCATGGCTTCAAGTCGAGAGCCACCCAAACCCTCCACGAATAGGTCTTGCACACCACAGGAAGGCTGTAGGGTTCAGCTAAACATGCAGTGGTACTTTTATTGAGCATTTCTCTAAGATCTGTGACTCCAGGGCTTCCCAAACAGGAGATGATCTCACCAGCATTTAAGATAGCTCTCATTCATTAGACAATGCAATGACTCCCAGAGCAAGAGCACCTCTACTGTGTGCTCTAGGAAGGGTCTGGGAAGTGAGTTTCTGTTCTTCTCGGGCTGTCTAGAGCTGCACCCTTCAGTGTTCCACCTCACTCCTTTAGTAGAGCTCATCTGCACCTTCCTTCTTGTTTTTAGCCTTATTCTTGTTTAGCTCTGAGACAGTTTACTGCTCCACCCTTGGACTTTCCCTTCAGCATATCTTTCTTACATCCTTGGCCCAGCATGTTCCTCCAATCTTCAAGAGTTAATCTACTTATCAAGACAGTCTGAAGGCTGAGAATGGAATTTCTAAGATGATCTCTCCTATGTTTCATTTGCTGTGCAACACCGCATAAATCTCACAACCTTAGTCCCTCTTGATAGAGAGCCGGAACACCCTGGAAGTAGTACCAGAACAAACATAAAACACTTCTGAATCTCGTTCCTTGTCCCTCCCCTCTCTGTTTTGTGTGGTTTGAGCTGCCTGCAGTCAACACTGAAAAAAGAGAGTGGACACTGCCACTATTCCTGGACACAAGCTCTAATTCCTTTATGCTAAGTAGTACAAACACATCGCATCTTCGACAGGCTTTGGGTCCTCCATCGATTTCAGAAAAGTGATGCTGGTTCACAATGACTGCATATTTTCTCTGGTAGCTCCCGCAGCTGCAGGTTATAGATTCACAGCGTGATTTGGGTAGGAAGGGACACCAAACCCCCCCAGTCCAACCCCCATGGGCAGGGACACCTCCACCAGCCCAGGCTGCTCCAAGCCCCGTCCAACCTGGCCTTGGGCACTGTCAGGGAGGGGGCACCCACAGCTTCTCTGGGCAACCTGGGACAGGGCCTCACCACCTCACAGGGAGGAATTTCTGCCCAATATCCAGTCTGAATCTGCCCTCTTCCAGTTTAAAACTGGTACTTCTCATCCTATCACTACACTCCCCAACAGAGAGTCCCTCCCCATCTTTCCTGTACCCCATCAGGTCCTGGAAGGTGCTTTAAGGTCTCCCCAGAGCCTTCTCTTCTCCAGGCTGAACAAACCCAATTCTCTCAGCTGTCTCCATAGCAGAGCTGCTCCAGCCCCTCAGCATCTCCGTGACCTCCTCTGCACCCTCTCCAACAGCTCCATTGGGGGCCCCAGAACTGATGCAGTATCCATGTGGGGTCTGACCAGAGCAGAGCAGAGGGGCAGAATCCCCCCCTGGCCCTGCTGCCCACACTTCTTGTGATGCAGCCCAGGATGGGGTTGGTTTCTGGGCTGCCAGTGTCCATTCCTGGCTCATGTTGAGTTTTCCATCACCCAACACCCCAAGTCCTTCTCCTCAGGATGCTCTGAGCCATCCTGTGCCCAGCCTGGGTTTGTGCTTGGGGTTGGCCCTGCCCAGTGCAGGACCTTGCCCTTGGCCTTGTTGAACCCCATGAGGTTGGCTCGGGCCCACCTCTGCAGCCTGGCCAGGTCCCTCTGGATGGGTCCCTTCCCTCCAATGTGTTGACTGCACCACAGTGTCACTACCAAACTTGCTGAGGGTGCACTTGATCCCACTGCCCATGTCGCTGACAAAGATGTTAAGCAGCACCGGTCCCAATACATTATCAAATGAATGGGGCCTAGTACAGCCAGCAGAGCAGAACTTAAAATACATAGAGAAATTCATACAAAAATTCAGTATCGCCACTCTTCTGGTCAGATCCAATTAGCTGGCCAGAAAACCCAGATGGGATTTTTCTCCTTTTGTGCAGGCTCTAACAGACTATTATGAACTAATTCTGAAAGCTTCTGCTATGGCCTAAGCAGCTGTACCCCTCCTGTTTTGTCTGGTGTGAGGCTGATTTACGCTATGTTACAGCTAGGCCCACAGCTTCTAATAACACACTGACTGATGCTGACCTGAGGATCCTGAGGGGCCTGTCTCTTGCCTGTCATTCAGTTATATGGAAACACGTAAGTTCGCAACAGAAAATGGAGGCTGCGTAGCATAAGGGCTTATTAAGAATTTATGTTCCCAAACCGGAGTTTCAGGTTTCAACTGCAGAAGGCAGCCTCTGGGATCCTTCCAGTCGCCACAAAGATCATTTAGCAATGCTCCATTAAAACTACAGGAGTAGCATATTTACTGAAACAGAAGGCTTAGCAGTTTTTCAGGGCCACAATACCCATTTGGCTGTCTTAATACATCAGTCTGCTGAAAGGAGAGCAGTTCTAAAACACTCAAGCAGCGCAGATGCCATCCACGGTAAATAGTGCTTTTCCAGAAAGAAGTCATAAATATGCAATATATTTATCAGTTCCTCCTTTGTGCTAATACTTTAGTGTTCAAAGCAGGGTCTGTATCCAACTGGTGAAAAAGGAAGCTTAACACCAGTGGGACCCAACACCCAAATGAAATTCTCTTACGTTTACGTTCTCATTAAATGAGTGGCAAACTACACTTTGGCACACTATACTGTGCGTCTCCTCTGCACTTGCAAAGCTATGATTAACTTAGCTCAGCACAATAATTATTGATAGAGGCTTTGTAGGATGCACAGACTACAGTGTCCCATCTGGAAGTGCCTTCTTTGGATCTCTCAAGACCTACCTTGTAACCAGTAAGTGAACAGCACAGATCTGAGACCTCCATGCACTGCAACGCCAGTGCCCAGCCTCTGGCTGAAACAGCTTCATGGAAGTTGCCAGGCAGATGCTAGCGTGAACCTCCAGCTATAAGAAGAAGCATTTCAGTCTGGCTGTAGCCCACGACCAGCCTTGCCCAAGATCTCTGTTACCTCTGCCAGGGACCACTTCCAAAGCACATCCTCCTCTTCTCTATTCCCTGCCTTGTGGGTGGTGTGTCGTGTCACCCAGCAACTCGAGGGGCCCACTACCAGACCTCTGCGTCAAGGAAGGGTGTCCCAGCTGCTGCAGTGCTCAGGCAGGATCCCAGACAGACCTGTCACTAAGGTCTGAGGGATGTGAGCACAGCCCTTGGCAGAGCAGAGATGAGCCTTGCAGGCAGCTCCAGCACATCTGACAACAACTTAGCAGAAAGGACCACAGAGGCTGGAGACATTTACCGGCAAGCATGTCTGGAGTCACACCTGACCCCCCTCCTGCTCTGCAGGGCAGGCCAAAGAAGCAGGAGTCCTGACATGCCTGGGGACAGGCACAGGGCCCGAAGCATTCACATGGTGCCTAATAGGTTGGTGACACTTACGGCATCCCCAGCTGCACCTCTGCCCTGGTGCAGGGGGAGAAGAGGAAACGCCTGCCACAGGAAAGGCCCTGTCTCAGCTGGGGCAGGAGAGCTCCCTACCACCAGCGATGGGAAACAAGAGACAGCCTAGAGGAGAAGAAAAGGGCCTAGTGACTGGTCCAGCTCCACTGCAAGGTGCACAGAAGCAACAGTTGATCAGGCTTGAACAACAGAACAGCACTAATGAGTCGGGGACAGCAGTGGGGAATTTTGACTACTGAAGTTTTTCATTGCAAAAGGAAAAAGGAAAACCCGATAGAGTTCACAGAATCACGAAGATTGGAAGAGACCTCCAAGATCATCAAGTCCAACCGTCAACCCAACCCCACCATGGCCACTAAACCATGTCCCCAGGTGCCACATCTGCACGGTTTTGAACCTCTTCAGGGATGGGGACTCCACCACTGTCCTGGGCAGCCCCTTCAGTG